CTCTCTCTCTCTCTCTCTCTCTCTCTCTCTCTCTCTCTCTCTCTTTCTTTCTCTCTCTCTCTCTCTCTTTCTCTCTTTCTCTCTATCTATCTAAACTAGTGCACATATGCAACCTTTTTGTTTTATCCTTTCTACAGCTTATCAAAATATTTGTCCATATCTAATTTAGTCTGACGTAAAAATTGCTCCGGAAAATAAAACTATTTATCAGCAAGAATCAATATCTGCGCTTGGAAAAGGATTCGCGTGCAAAAAGAGTCCTTGGGAAAATTGGTTTAATAAAGGAGGAAGATATTGAATGATTCCGCCCAGAGCATAAATAATATCATCATTTATATGCTTTCTGTCATTTCCTAAGGCCGGCTTGTCTCCCTCTGCGGGTTTATAAAAGAAATGTGAATTCTTAATGAAAAGGCTGACATGCGTTGAAACCGTGATATTTATAAACACTTTCTTGGACATGCACTGCCATGCAAATAAATGAGCCCCACTTCCTTGTAGACGTTTGCTCGAGCAATCGCGCTAGACGTGTGCACGTACTCAGACAGAATTTGGAATAAAAACCTGGACAAATAGACGAAACACTTGCATGCACGCTTTAAAGATCCTCACAAAACTGCTATTTTAAAGGATGGGCGTTTAATTCAAAATCAACGACTCAAAAGTCCATTTCCGATAAGCTTCAGACAAGTGGACAGAGAGACAGACTCTGAAGTTTCCAATCCCAAAAAATCATTTTAGAGATTTGAACAAATCTTCTACGTTGTCACTCATTCAATAAATGAATAAATAAATAAATAAATAGATAAATAGATAAATAGATAAATAAATAAATAAATAAATAAATAAATAAATAAATAAATAAATAAATAAATGTTAAAGGTTTCCACTAGATCTATGTGTTTAGCAGAAACGTTTTGGCAGCACCGTGTATTCTGAGGCAGGAGAAGGTGATATGTATCTTCTTCGTCACGTTGTAGGCCTACCTGGTTTAGATTGTTTGTCAGAGTAAGACACTAACTGATCTGCTTTCCGCTTATCTTGTCTTTTATACTTTAAGTCCCGAGCCAATGTAATTTTAAAAGGTAAAGGAAAATGGCTTAGTTGCGTATGTTATGATTGTTTAAAAGTGAGGGATGCTTATGTAAAACAGCCGTCTATTATTTCCAATTCTTATCAAAAGCTTGATTAAACAACTGATTTTCAATTCATTATTGATCAACTTAAGAGAACCATTTGGGCAGAATTTCACAGAGATTTCAGCTAATCTCCGCCTTAGCGAAGGAAATTACGATTATATAGCTTATATATACTTTCTCTTTCCGTAAGATTCTCTTTTCGAAAGATCTTGTCAGTATGTTAGTGTTTTAGCGCCTACAAATGACCGCTTGCTCTGTATGTTTCCCAGGAAGTTGAAGTTGTTTCAGAATGTTCTCAGGTCTGCTGGGGTAATAGTATAGATTGTGAAGCTCATAGAGCCTGCTGTTAAGCGGCGATTTGCGATACAAATGCTATCTATTGTTATTATTATTATTATTATTATTA